AAAAAAAAAAAAGCCAATATTCAAAAATACAGGTGACCAAAAGAAATTTTTTCCTGAAGTGGCAAAAATAATATGAAAGGCACCCATATATTATTTTAGTTGAAATTTCACATTCTTCAGACGGAAGTGCTTTAAACACTTGCTGTCCTCTTCTGTCATTTAAACTAAAGTTTAATGCCGACTTTAAACGGAAGGCAGTTAGGAAAGCCTTTATCTTTTTTGTCAATTTGGGAAGAGCTGACGTACATGGTCACATTAGTTTCGGCTCCACAACTTAGTGATCGGACAAGTTTATACCTTATGCTGTGCTCACCGTAAGTGTAGCTACCGTCTGCCCCGTTCCATCGCTATTACGGTATCAGTGATTGTATTCCTTACGCTGTACCTTTTATTCCGCGGCCTCTTCATTCCGTAACCGGAACGCCCCTTCACCCATCGTGCTACTTCCCCCCTCTGGGAACCATCAGTTTGTTCCCTGCAGTTACAGGTCTGATCCTGAGGAAAGCCTTTCTCTGGATAGCTCCCTTCAAATCAGCGGCCATTCGGGGATTCTAGAAGGAGCACAGCTGCTGCTTATTCTCCTTATTAAGCCGTATTTCTTCTAGAAACACTTATCTAATGTGTTCCAAAGGAAAGGTTATAATGGAAATAATTATAGTAACACATTTAATGTTCATTTTTAGAAACACTTGTTCATTGATTCCATAAATAAACACCAAGACTCTTAAGTTAGAACTCACAGCTAGAAAGATGACTAAGATGTGGGCCTTGCGTCAAGAAGCTCCCCATCTAGTGGGGAGACAGGGAGAAGTGAGGGGATGGAAGCAAGAAAGGCAACAGCATCATCTTTGAACATCTTCACACGATGCCTCCTGACATTTAAAAATTACTGGAAAACGGTAACTTAATCGTTGCATTCCAGTTTACCTATTTTCTGTAGGTAAAACAGAACTCTTATCCATATTTGAACTACTAACTTATTTGATACTGATGTTTTCACACTAATCCAGCTTTCCCCATTTATAATCAACCCATGCACTCAGAGAAAAATTATAGTCAATTACAGCAGTTATGCTGTAAATTAATTTATCTATCACCGTACAACTGAGCAGCATGGATAGGACAAGGTAAAAGCTATGAACCAGGCTCACAGATCCTTTGAAAGAATCTTCTCCAGGCCTGACAGTAACTGTGTTCTAAAGAGAGCTAATGACTTGAAGGTGTCCATGAAGCTCGCCTTCACAGATGCGGGTTTCCTCGCTGAGGTAATAGCCCTGTGGGCACTCGCACTGGAAGCTTCCGAAAGTGTTGATGCAGTTTCCGCCCTGGCAGAGACCTGGTAACTCCTGGCATTCATCGATATCTGCGGAAGGAGAGACGGCTCACTCACAGCAAGTACCACCATCAAAGACCAGGGTTACTGTTACAGCCCTCCAATGTGTGCTGTATGACCCGCAGACTTCTATGCCCTGGGTTTCTTCTGACCATGGATTTTTTTTTTGCTTTGTCATGCAAATTTGCTAAAATCCGAGAAGAGTGATTAACGCGGGCTGGGGATGACGGTACAGAGAGTTTCTCTGCAGAGCAATCAGACATCCGATCACCGTCATGGGTCCTATCTTACCGAGTTACAAGTGGTTATTCAGCATCCTGGTAACTGGCTGTCCCATTGTCATTTTGCAAAATAATCTTGTTTAGATTGCTCCACACTAACTTTCCTACCAGCTTTTCTCTTTCTCTTGTTTAAATCTGGGTGACAATTAGAGGTACACTCACCTTCTAAGATGATTGTGATGGGGTTGGGTCTGAAGCCCTCACCTCCGGGACACAGGGTATAATACTCAGCTACAAAACAAAGGGAGAGGAGATTTGACACCAGTGTCAAAGGGGCAGAGGCAAGGAAGAAGCGTTTTGCAGCTGCCAGACTCAAAACACAATCTAAGAGGAGTGAACTGCATTCTTTAGCGCCCTTTGAAATACACTTAAATGTATATTACGTTTTACTGGAAGTAAGGTCACTACTTCACAAATTACACACACAACAGAATAACCAAAACCATCTGTTTTTGATTAAAGAAAAACGCTTCAAAAGCAGACAATGTAGATCACAACTTTTTTGGCTAGTAAATAAAAACAGACTCAACCATTCCAAAGTTTCATCTGTGTCTGTATCAGAACACACGTTTCAGCTGCAGACAAAATACGACTGACTTGAGGAGAACAACCCATCTATGAACCTGAACTACAACAATCCCTGAGAAGAACCAGGAGTGGTCTTTATTTGTGATCCCAAGGAGGACTGACAACATCACCATTCACGCTGGACTGGGGTTAGCAATCGTGGTGTGTGTGTTTTTTTTTGTTTGTTCGTTTGTTTGTTTGTTTTTTAATCATATCATGGAAAACAATCAGAAGAGAGCATTTCCAATTCCTTTCCTATCAAACACTCTTGGCCCGTTTCAGCATCATCACTGCAAGCAGTCCAAGGTCACGCTCTTCCGCCTCGCCGCTGCCCCCACCCCCAGCGCAAGAAGAAACGGCAACTTGTCTTCAGCTGCCACTCTGTTCCCCAGCGCCATACTCACTGCTGTTGACAGGAGGGCATGTCTCGCAGGGGTTCCCCCAGGCCTTCCCCAGTGAGCAGCAGCACGAGGAGCGGCTGACACCCACCCCGATCTCGGTGTTGCAGGACAGACTTCCGTCTCCTCGAGGCCCGAACTTCAGGTAGCAGTTGCCCACTCGGTTGTCTGCAGAGCAATACAGGAGCTTACAACTGCCCATGCCTCAGGAAGAATTGCTTTTCAGAGAGCGGCCACGCGAATGATGAAATTCAGACCCCACACACCAATGTGAAACGTTCATCTTCATCTCCAGCACAAAACAATCTTCTTGCTTTGAGCCACCTCAAGATTGTGTTGGAGGAATTATTAAAGATGGACTTTCCTATGTTTAGAAATCCACATAGACCACAGACTAAACAAATTTCCATGTGAGAAACTGCTCATTTGGGGAACTTTTGGGCCTTCACTAATAGGAATGGAGGAAATTTTTGTTATAATCAATCTATATCATGAGTTTATCAATCATGGAAATAAAATCCCAGAGAAGTCAACTTAAAGCTGTGTATCCTATCAAAGAAATATCGATAACTCCATCTCCTGCTTCTCTTCCCCATTATCTGGTTTCATTTCTGTTTGCACAGAGACCTTTGAGAAGTTTGGGCAAAGGCAGTCAGTAACAGCTTTAGAGAAGACACTTAAGACACCAAAGAATTTCAGTCTTTCCCTTGTCTCTACCCGTAATTATCATCTAGCTCATCAGTTCCATGACTTTAAAATACTGTGTTTTTGCTGAGAACTCTCAAATGTACAGTTCCGTCTCTCATCTCTCCCCAGAACCCTACACTGTTCTGCTGGTTGCCTGTTTGATTTCTCCCCTTAGATATCCAATAGTTACTTTAAAGTCAACACATCTAAAATCAAACTCTTGGTACCTCCTTCCTCCACATAAAAAACCTACTCCACTCCTCTCTTGGGTCTTCGGCATTTTCAATAAACACAGCTCCATTTTTTTCAGTTGTTCAGGCCCTAAACCTTGGGGTCAGTCTTTGACTCCTTACTGTCATCCCGTATTCAATCCAGTAATAAAGTCGGTCACTTCCATATCTGGAACGTGACCCCTCACCACTGCCTCCGTGAACATGAACCAAGCCACGGCCACCTCTCTCCTGGACCACTGCAACGGCTTCCTAACTCAGCTTTTCACTTCAGTCCTTGACCTGACGACAGTCGACTTTCCCCACCATACCCAGAATATCCCTTCAGAAGTATTTCCAATGGCTCACCTTCTCAGTCAGAGTAATATTTCAAGTCCTTAGTATGGCCTACAATATGTAGTTTTCATACCTGGATGCACATGAGAATCATTTGGACAACTTTTAATTATTTTATTTTATTTTTCTCTCTTTTTTTTTTCTCATTTTTTTTTTTTTTAAGATTTTATTTATTTGAGACAGAGAGAATGAGAGAGAGAGAGCACATGAGAGGAGGGAGGGTCAGAGGGAGAAGCAGGCTCCCTGCCGAGCAGGGAGCCCAATGCGGGACTCGATCCAGGGACTCCAGGATCATGACCTGAGCCGAAAGCAGTCGCTTAACCAACTGAGCCACCCAGGCGCCCTTCATTTTGTTTTTTGTTGCTGAATCTCAGGTGCAGAGAGATGAGCTAAGTCTTGGTTCTGTTCTTACTAAGTTTGCATTCATTCATGCTTCCTCCCGCCCCCTGCCCCACTCTCTCTCTTATCCTCATCCCCTACCCAACCATCTGAATGTGTTTAATCATATCTTCTTTTGTCTGTGTTCTTATAAAATGAGTATTTTTGTTTCCATGAGCACATTTTAAATTTACATAAATGGTATTTTGTCACAGATCTCATTCCATTTTTATTATACGCAATCTGTCAACTCTACAGGGTGCCCAATTGTCATTTTAAATCTGTCTGCTCTCCAGAAATGGTTTCTAAGTCCCTGCTACCACAAGTACTGTGGCAGTCAATGTCTTTACCCATGTCTGTGCATGGGCCTGTCAGCTCCTTTCTTTGCTGTCTAGAGACAGGGGAGAAACTGCTGGTTCACAGAGTTTCCATATTCTTAGGCCTCAGTGTCAGGAAATATAGTTACTGTCATTTACCATCTGCATCCAATGGAACTTTCCAATTTTTTATAATAACTTTGAAAATAATTTACAGGAAAAAAAGGCACAGTGAAACAACTTCACTAGAAATTCTAGTAACAATTTAATCATCTCTAATTCAAATTTTTATTCCCGATTTTCTTGGTTTTGGACCAAATTTTCTTGGTCTTGGAGAGATACATGCCTGAGATGGTCCTATGAACACAATTACCTGCCCATTGGCTGCCATGCATGAACCTGAAACAGATTCATTTTGCAAAAGCTGATTACACATTTCAAACACATCTCTAATGGCTTCTAACTTATCATTACTTCTTAGGTTCTTTTTCTTGTATCATTAATACACAACGTCTGAAGACATTTTTGAAAACTGTGACAGGTCCTCATTTTGATGATGAGAGGACAGCTGTTTGCTCCACAAATAAAAAAAAAAAATTTCATTTGTAGATTTATCAATACCAGCTAGGATAACCAGCCCAATGATTTTTCTACATCCCATATTTCCTTTTAATAACCTTTGTCTAAATACCTGCACCTTCATCATTAGCCCACTTATGAACCAAATCAATTACACTTAGGGTATAAAAGAATAAAGAGACCTGGGAGGGATGACTCAGGTGCTTGTCAAATACTGCATGCTGAGGTTCTTCCTACTAAGAGACGAGAAGACCGTATTTTCTCTGTCTACAGAAGTCTACTATTCACTCACTCTTTGATTCTTGAATTTGAAAAATCTCTTCTAGGAGGTTGGTCTCTGAAGACTAGCAGCAGCCCGGCATTTGGCTTCTATGATCGATTTCACCATCATTGGAATCTAGACTGGAGTCTATGTTACATTCATCTCCCGATCCATCTGACACCTGGGAAATGTTTTTCACACCCTATTTTCTTCTCTTTGCCATATGGCCAGAAAGTGAAAACTTCTGAACTCTCAACTGTGTTCAATACATGCTTAAAGAAGATTCCAAATATAGCGTCTCCAGTGTTCTTTCATACCTTCTTGGAAGATGATGCCATCCCCTGAGCCACACAACACAGTAAGAAAACTGAAGATTACAAAACGGTGACATTTTTTTCACTATTATGTCAAACCTTCTGGGGGATGGCATGATTTTCCACTTTATTATCTTTATCTTTGTTTTTAGCATCATTGGACCTAACTGATAAGTAATGATGAAATAAAACCTAAAATAATAAAATGGCAAATGGAAAATAAGATCACCAACATCTCATACTGCATCTTAGACTCAGAGGAGGGTCTAATGGGCCATTATAGTATTTGTGAGATAGAATGAGTCTCCGTCCTTTGGAAGACCTCTAAGAAAAAAATAAGGCCACAAAATATCAATCCACACAAACAGAACTGCTCTACAGAGAAACTCAAAACCTAAGTTGATGATATGCTGACAGTTAATCTGGGTACCGTTGTCCAAGAATATTCTCTGCAAGGCTACCCTGATCTTCACTTCTACCTGGAGAACAGAGGGCCCCTTGAGGTCCATGTTCCTACCAACACTTTACATCATCCAGGTTGCTGAAGTTTTGTCAGTCTGTTAGGCATAAAGTGATAGTTACATAGTTGTTTTGATTTATTCTTGTTACTAAAGACTTTGGGCGTTCGCTCATTATGTTTGTTCACTTTTGCAGTACTCCCTTCTATCAGCAGCCTGTCTGTAGCCTTTGCTTCAACAAAGTTTTTAAGCAATACTGAAGTGCCAATGACTCAATTTCTGGGCATGAAGCAGTCATCAGCAGATTTTTACGGTTCCAAATGGGATTTTACTGTGTAGCTAGGGTTGAGAGCCACTTTGCGATCTATGCGATTGCTCCTTCTCTGATTCCTCTCTTTCTCTTGGAAGGTAAACGTGACAAGAGTAACCATATATATATATATTGGTAATCTGGAGTTTGTTAAGGGAAAGGACAATTTTGTTTTCAAATTAATTACAGCAAACACTCACCCCAGTGCACTACCATGAAAGTGTGGGTATTTAACTCTACGTAGTTCTATTTGTTTCACTTACCAACACAACCCACACCAGTGGGGTTCAGCTGGAAATCCGGGGGGCAGTTACACTCGTAGCGACCAGGAGTGTTGACACATAGGCCATTCACACAGTTTATGGGATCCGCACACTCATCAATATCTAGGAAAAGCATTTAAAATGCCCATATTAACATCTTTACTTTCTCTCTGCACATGGCTGTTTCTAAGAATTTGGTGGAATCTTTGCAAGTTATTAAAGATCTTTGGCAAGGCCTCAGCACAGTGGAATAGAGATCAAATCCTTGTATAGACCTACAACAGGTTCCACAGATCAACCACATGGTACTCAGGATAGTTATCATTTAATATCTTTAATAAATAATAATTAGATGTTGGGATTCTGAAGAAGAAAAAATGTTACCATCTGCTTAACTACAATGATGTATATACTTATGTACATACACAAGCACTACATACATTTATACAAAGAAACAGTTTCCTAGTTTCATGTTAGATATTTTATATTAAGTTATTTATATAAAATATATCAATTCCATAGTTAAAAATAAATGTGTCAGAATGTAATTTTTTTTTTCAAAAAATTACATAAGGTATAAAGCAGGCTAAGCAGAGGGCTGAGCAGAAATTTGAGGAATTTTTATACTTCGCACAAAATAGTCACCTCAACTAATAAGAACCCAATCAAACCCTTTACTGGCCATACCTGTGCAGTTCCCTCCGGTTCTGTCCAATTCATAACCATCATCACAGATACAATGAAACATTCCAGGCAAATTATTACATGTTCCAAACACACAAATATTTTGGAAGGAGCACTCATCAATATCTGAGGATTAAAAAAAATAATCATCTCTTCTGTACAAAGACATTTTGATTTAATTTATATCACATTAATAAATTTTTTCTGTCTCGAACCATGAGAGACGATGGACTCTGAAAAACAAACTGAGGGTTCTAGAGGGGAGGGGGGTGGGAGGATGGGTTAGCCTGGTGATGGGTATTGAGGAGGGCACGTTCTGCATGGAGCACTGGGTGTTATGCACAAACAATGAATCATGGAACACTACATCTAAAACTAATGATGTAATGTATGGGGATTAACATAAGAATAAAAAAAAAATTTTTTTTCTGTCTCCCCAGATGTTTTTATGTAGTAAAAAATTTTCTTTGTCTTTGACTAGGTAGACCACATAAATGGCAAACAACTAATGTTCATCTATGGAACAAAGGTCTAAAAGAAATATTTTATTTTACTGAGCATTTTAACTAACTGTCTTGGGTTATACTATGCTTTTAAAAAAGAATTTGCCTGAGGCATAAAAATAAAAAACCAAATATGAACATGTCAATGGCATGAGACTGTAAAAAATTAAACATAAAAACAAATTCTAAGATTCTAATAACTTAGTACAAACATGTTTTATAAACATCCATAACATACAAAGTATAGAGCATATTTTAAATATTAAAGATATCATTAAAATTATTTACCTTTTTAAAAAACTTTTTCTTATTCTACAATCTAATAATCTGTTACCATAAACTTAGTTTTAAATAGGGAAATAATTTTTTCTAATAGCATGTAATAAGATCAACCATTGCTCTACGTTCTTACAAATTTCATTAAAATGTCTCCATTGAATTGAAGTCATAAATTCGGCTTATGAAACTCTTCCATGAAGCTTTAATTCGGTCAGTAAGGGAGAAGTTACCCCTCCTCATGCATATGAAAATGAAGGCATCTATGTGTGTGTCCAGCTGTAGAAATAATCTATACTTCTACTTGCAGGAACAAGATGGACATTTCTGTACACAAATGACCTCAAACTCTGAGAAGGCAGAGCGGGTGTGGCATTTTAGGCCAGATGAGAACAGTCAGGCTAACATGCTATTGAGAGACTGTTACGTATGAAGTTTAAAAGGTCTGCTGGTCATTCATCATAGTTAAGAAAGAATGAGTTTCAACTATATTAGATTTCAAGTGTGGTTCAAACTTTGTTTAGAAGATCAACTGATGTATCAATGTGTCTTTTCTTGTGTTGAGGCTATAAACACAGTTATTCTCTTTATGCAAATGAGTAAGTGAGACTCATTAAACTAATTTATAATTGAATGGTGTTAATCTAGAATGGAAATTGAACTGTATTATCAGCCCTCTTCGTGTGCATTTTACTTTTAAATGAACTTTATTAGAAATAACTTCCATTTAAATAATGTAATACTTGTTGACACAAGTGAAGGTATTTCAGAATACGGTCTCGTTTTTGTTTAAATTGATGCATACTCAGAAATTCAAACAATACAGAAAAGTGTGGGTAGCAAATAGAAAACAAAGAAAATAATACACAAATAAGGTGGCAAAAGCAGAGTGAAGCTGAAAAAATTTCTATGCAAAAGATCAATTTGTTTTTATCTCCGTAGTTTCTGATACTTTCTAATGTTAAGAATTGATGAAAAACACTAAAAACTGATGCTCTTTTCCCCTTATGTCAAAATTCAAATATAATTTCAAGACAGTATTAATGGCTTCTGTGCCATGAATTATAAGAAAATTAGCATTCACATATGCTTCCAACTCATTTTTGTTATTTCTATAATTTTCACTTTTTCAATGTTTATGGCATTTACCATAATCTCTAAAGTATCTAGTACTGATTCTTAAAGGAATCAGTAAGGCTTTTACTGCAACTCCTACATTTCTCTCTCGAATGGTGTTGCACGGCTAAGTTTTTTTCCCCCCAAGGAGGGAGGGCCCACAGGTGTTTTCTGTGTGCATTATTTCACATGTGAGAATACGCCTATTGTTTTCATAACTGACTAACTGCTGAGGTAGAACATCTTCATGTGTGTCCTCAGGATTCTGTGGGCCTCATTCTCGTGTCTTCTGGTATTGAATGTTTTGGTTTTGTTCACGACGTTCCTTTTCCATCTAGAGCCTGAAGAATCCTTCTCTACGGCTTAAGTCAACAAAAGTAATAAGGCTAAGTCTCTGGTCTTATGATTTACCTTTTTCTCTAACATTCAGTGCTTTCTTCCATTTTGGGGAAATGTTTGGCTGTTCAATACTTTTTTCTATTCATTTATTTTGGGCTCTCTACTTCAGAGACACCAATAATACTTCCTTTTACGGTCTTTGTCTTTTCTCTCACAGTGCTAAGTTCCTCCCCCTCTCCCGTTCTGACTTTTCTGTCCACCTCTTTTTGTTCATTCTCTATGCTGCTCATTACGTTTTTACCTGTGTCTTTCCTATTCTCTGCTGTTTCTATTGAATAGGTCTCTAATTTTGCTGTGTTTGTTTCCCATAGCTCTGCAATTTCCCCTTTTGCCTTTTGTCTTTTCTTGCTTCTATAATCTCTTTGAACTTGTTCACTCATATTTATGCTCACATTAAAGTCATCTATGGCACAAAGTACCTGTGGGAAATCTGCTCTCATTCCTTGGGTGATTTTCTTCTACTCTGGGTTGGTTCTCTCCTTTTTGTGTATTCTTTTACTGTTGTTCCACACGGCACCTGCAAGCTTGCCGTTGCTTACTTTCAACTTGTGTACACACTACTTGGTCAGCCCTTTTATGAGTTTTTATATACTCTGGAACAGTTTAGATAGAGTATCTGGACATACCCCCCTCCTTATCTGGGCGTTATTTGGAAGACAAGTTGGGATATGGATTTCATTAAAGCTGCTATTCTGTTAGCCTAAGGTGGGAAGGAGTGAGGATAAAAATGGGAAGCTGTGTGCTCTTCTGCTGATGCACCTGGCCTCTCTTCTCTCTCCACACATGACACCAAATGGTCTGTATCCATGTTTACTCCACTGATGATGGAGTCCTAGCCTGTTCCTGAGGGGCTTCCTCCAGGTTTTGTATTCTCTCATTTTTGTGGAGAATGTTGGGAAACGGCCAAATGCGGCAAGTTTTGGGGCTCTAAAGAAACTCTGAGAATTTGTGGTGAGAAGTAGAGGCTGAGTGGAAAATGTTGATCAGACAGTCAGTTCAGAGGGGCGTATGTTATCAGATGGGAGGGTCTCAAGAAATCAAATTAGTGAATACAGGAGAAACTGTCTAAATGAGACAGAACCTGTGGGGAAAGATAAGACAACATCAAGGAGAAAGAGGCAGAACCATGGAATTACATTTTGGGATCTCAAAATTTGGCATCTGTCTAAGTGGGGCAGGGTCTCACTGAGGATGAATTACTTGTGTGCCCCTCTCCCTTCTCCTGGCAGGAGACGTTGCCCTCCCTGGCAATGATACACTGAAAAACCAACACATGAAGTACGTACAGTGAACACAAACTACCTAGCATCACCTCAGGGAAGGCCTGGGGAGAAGTTCTGGAAGGGCCAAGGCCGCAGATAAAGGAGTAGGATTATGGAGGGGAAATTATTAGGCACAAAGAACTAATTTTTTGAAATTTTATGTTGGCCAAAGTACCTGGCTACTGCTGACTTGTTCCTTTTCCTACCAACTCTTGTCAAGTCGAAATGAGTAATAAATCATGTAAACCCAAAACCACATTGACTCACATTTTTTACTAATTAACTTTGGTGCTTACATGAAATCAGGACCAGGGGAGAAAAATGAAGCTCCCTCCACAGTGGCCTTTATGAGATGCATTAGATTCTGCTCAATCTAACAGATCATTGTCGAAGCATGAATGCTTTCGGTTTCCAGTATCATCTTCCCCAGGGTTTACTATTCATTCTCTTGGTCTGATTCTCTAAAAATTGGTGGGTATGTATTGAAACTTCCATGACCTTTTAAGCACACCTTCTTCCTTCAGTACCACTTCAGGTAGTAAGATGGAGAGAGGCTCTATTCTGAGCCATTCTAGATGGTCTGATTTGTTTTTGTCTGGTCGCCACTGGTGAACTGTGTGTGTGTGTGTGTGTGTGTGTGTGTGTGTGTGTGTGTATGCTGATATTTGCCATTTCTGTTCATTTGATTAGATGCTAGTAGGGAGAGCCAGTAATCTGGTTTAATTTTATCTTTGCCCAGCACTTAGCCTGAGTTACCTTTTTAAAGGTTTTCTATGAATCACTAGTTTTGTTAAAGCCTTCTGGTTCCTTAATTGTTTTTAATCTTTTTCCTTTCTTCGTCTGTATTTGCATGGACTCCAAATGAACACAGTGATGACCCAAACGATATACAAAGCAAACTGAGTCTCTGAGAGGAAATCCCCATTCTTTTTCTTGGAGAGCTATGGCACTAGTCACAAGTCTCATTTCTAGGAAAGAGGGATGATGTCACCAGTTAAGGGAAGGACACACTGCTCTTAGGCAAAAGGTGCAGGCCTTGATGAGCTCCCGGGGAGAACTTCCAGTCCCAGACAGATAGACAGACAGACGGCAGACTGAAACATGAAGGTAAAACATGAAGGTAAAACACGAGCTACTGAGGTTTTCGTAAACACATTACGTAGCAGTGATTGGGGGAGATAGCATCTCCTATGTTTAAAAAGCTGAATAGTTTTTCCACATGTCATTCATTTAGTAATAAAAAAAAAGAAATGGTTAAAAAGAAAAAAAAAAAAAAAAGGAATGAGCCAAACTTCCAACTGTTGGCTCTTGGCCAGGAAAACTTCATAAGAGATGAAAGCCGCCTTCATCATTATTCATTCGGCAGAATAATCCATGCTTAAACGAATGACTTTTATATGTACAGCATGTGCTGTGTATTCTGCTTCCAGGTGGAGCCCGTTCCAGCCCTTTTTGTGGTTGCGTGTGCTGGAGCTGATCCAGCTTGGCAACGAGCTGGAGTCGCAGGGACCCACCTTGGCAGGACCTGCTGTCGGAGGCTGGAGTGAAGCCCATCTCGCACTCACAGCGATAGGCACCCGGGACGTTGAGGCACTGTCCGTTTTCGCAGAGGTTGATGTTTTCTGCGCACTCATCGACATCTGCGGGAGAAGCAGATGACATCTCTGTTGAGTTCCCCGCATCGTGACACGGCTTCACCGGCTTGAGCTGGTGCTCACGAACATGAACCGATACCCAGTCGTGTTCCCTAAACAAGCGTGTACAATTGGCTAACAGAGCTGTTTAGCCTAAACCCGACATTGCATCATCACCCGATTAACAGGAGGAGGGCAGGTGTCTCTCGGATCTTAGTTCTGTCATGCCAACCTGATGCATCGGTATTATACCAACATCACCGACAGATGACCAAGAACACTGAAATTAATCTTAAAAGGGTGTCTCTTCTAAGATTATAATGTTTTCAAGTGAACGAACAACTTGTTTTTTCACTAGTTCAATGAATGTTTAAGCAAATCAGAGCTACTCTATGAGTTTTTTCATGTCACTACGACTGTATTAAAATACTTCTCTCTTAATTACGCAAATGAGCAGGATTCACAGACCATTTATATAATCCTATCAAATTGAAAAAGGGGGTAGTGCAGAAAGCAATGTTTATGGAGGGCCTAATATCTGCCAGGTAGAGGGCTAGCTGCCTGTCGAGCACGTTTTCGTTTAGTTCACCAGCCCTGTGCGGGTCAGAAGAGGAAGAACCTGAGGCTCAGAGCAGCTTCTGTGGCTGGGCCTGCATCTAAGTGCAGGTGCACCCGACACCAAGGCCACGCCCTTTCCTTCATACCCTGTTGTAGAGAAATGCAAAGAACGGTGTAGTAAGCTAAGACTGAAAAGTAAGGAAGCTTTAAATATTAAATAAGCATGTTTTCTTAAAGAAGCATCTGAAAGTGATGAGTCGGTGTTTTTGATGTCAATAATTAGACAAAAATTAGAGTCTGTCTTTTAATTGGGGGTTTAAAGTATGTGCTGAAATTCAACCGAAAACACCAATCTCCACAATCTTAAAAGCATCATACTTTAAGTCCAGCAAGCTGATGCAGTCATTCATAGAAGTATAATAAGGAGATGTCTTATTCTCAAGGAATGCAAAACGAAGAGCAGCTCAGTCGCAGCTAATGTTTATTGAACTCTTAGGATGTGTTTTCCTAAACCCTTCACTTGTGTGATTTCATTTCATCCTTTCAACACCATGTGACGACCTGAGATGCTGATGAGCACATGAACCAGTAGCGATTGGGTGCAACGTATATTGTATCCTAAGACATGAATAGTTTTCCCTCATGTCACTTATTTCGTAATAAAAATCGGAATGGGAATTCCCACCCCCTTTAACTACAGTTTTCTTTAAAGAGGGCAAGCTTATGGAGTGTTCCATGAAAACCATGCCAGAGCACACCTGAGGACTCTCACCCACCTGAGCAGGTAAAGCCATCTCCAGTGAACCCTTCAGAGCAGGCACATCGGTAGGAGCCCGGGGTATTTACACACTGAGCATTGATGCTACACTGGTGGGTTCCGTTCGAACATTCATCCAGATCTGCATGCCAAGAGAACAGAGCGATCAAGTTCAGAAAGGAAAATAGAACCTTCAAACACACAGACAGATTTTCATTGGTCTTAATTTAAGTGTACAGTGGACAAGTGGGATTTGTTTTAGTTTACTTGTAAGGTCACAATTCTAATTCTCTAAGATCTCAGACCCACAATCCAAAATGTTCGTTCTACAAACAGGGGCTAAAATGATTTATAATAAAAGTATTTGTGAGATATTTAATAAGCTAGAATTTTAATGGTTAAAAGGTAAATCGGTGCTAGATTTCCATGAATTCCACTGGGCACAGACGTGATCACTGGTTCCTTTATCCCTAAAAAAGGGTCAATTTCTAAATTCAGGGACTGAATTTCAGAGCAGGATAATTAGCAAAGAGTTTTCAAGTTCCTTTAACAGATGAGGAAAACAAGATCTGATTCTTGATCTTGCAGAGTCTAGTCTAGTAGAAATGACACAAGCTAAACAAAGAAATATTGGCTATGTCAAATAGGTTGTATGTTCCATGAAGAAAAGGGAATAAAACGGGCCTCTCATTTGGGCTGCAGGAATAAAGAAGGGTCCCCCTGGGGAAGGAGTTCTCAGTGAACTTCACACCGGAACGATGAGTCGGAGTTAGTGTGCTGCCCAGAAGCAGGCAACGGTATTTCTTCCCTAGGGAACAGCACATTTAGAGATGCTGAGGAGGAAAAGAGCTCGATGTGATAAAAGACACTGGAGGAGCGAGAATGACAGAACATAGGAGTTGGGACTGATGGAAGCTGAAGCTGGAGAGCTATGGGAGGAGGCTGCAGGCTCATGTAAACCACGGGAAGGAAGCTACATTTTATCCTCAATTTGAGGATTCGAATGATAATTTAAAGAGATCAGATTCATGGGTTAAAAGATCTGTCTGGCTGCTATGTGGAGAACAGATTAAAGGACCAGCAAGGCAATGAGCAGACACTTGAGGATGTTCTTTTTGCCTCAGAGAGAGGCAGAGGCGCGGGGAGGGAGGGAGAATGGCTGAGAGTAGAGCAGGGGGATGGACATGGAAAGAAGAGAATGAATTTGCACGATGTTTTGGAGTAGAAGTACTTGAACACAGTTAAATCTTTTGTAGTTTGCAGTAGTTGGCCAGAGTGATGGATGGACAAGGACAAAAAGGGGAAGGCTAGAAAAGAGAAAATATGGGGCCAGAAAATAGGAATGGGGGATATGGCTGAAAAAAAACCCCTGTGAGATTAATCATAGGAGTGACGGCTAGACCAGAACTGGGTAGCTAAGTGAACTGAATAATGCCATCAGGGAACGTTACTTAGCAAAGTTATTTGGAAAGTATGATCATTTCTATTCACAGTCAGCTCCCACACATTAGACAAGTATAAAACAACTGAACGGCCAAGAGAGTATACTCCAATTAACTGACAATATTGTTAACAGATCTTAAGGCTCTCCCCTTCAATGCTTACTGCTGGCTTACAAGGTTTTAGCGAGTAATCCTGGGGAGGTCAGTCGAGCTTGTTTTATTTTCTATTTTAAGTTGGCCTGGGTAATTCTAATCAGCCGGAACAATGCTTTGTTGGTAGAGCATGCACAACAGTTAAGTGTAGGAAGCAGCAGTACGTGTAGCTGCGAAGGTGACAGACAGCCCCTCCATCCCCCCACCTCACAGCCAGGACAGACTTAGGAGACCCCAGCTCAGCAACTCAAAAGCCTGGAGAACGGCAACTGCCCTTCCTTCCAGTCTCCTCTGTCCCAGTCACACCTCCTGGAATCCAGCAAAACCTTTTGCTTTCTCTGGAAGAGGAATTCTATTTTCTATGAAGAAGCTGGTACTGACCAGGTACAGACTCAGATTATGTGATAAAACCTTTCCATTTCCTTCACGTGTTACATTGGGTTTTAAGTCTCACTGATTTCTGTATGAAAAGACTGGAAAAACACATTAGTCATTTTTCATCATACATCTGTTTGGACTTCTGGCTACACATCAAATAATTTTTACTGAACAACAACACATTAAAAAGCAGATGCCAAGGCATACTGCTGTGATGTGATAATTTATGCCAAGGTTAAAGGAAACTCTTAGGCAGGAATTACCTTGCAACTAAAGATAGTCTTTGATTTTCAAGAGAATAAATGAAAGACAAGGGCATATTCCTATTCAAGTACGTGTTTTAAGGACTGCGCAAAGAGCCTCAAAGAATTTTGTGTCTTAGCAAAGGATGTTCACATCTGCAAACTCACCAATACATTTGATGCCATTTCCAACCCAGCCTTCTCTGCAACTGCACTTGAAGCTTCCCGGGACGTTGAGACAGGAGGCATGCATGTCGCAGTTGTGAGCACCAATTTCACACTCGTCCACATCTGAGAAGGCACAGTTAATATGATGAAAATTAAACACAAAGCTAATTAATTCTGCACAGGTAAAATTTTTAAGTAAACATGGAACTATCTAAGTTGGCACGGAAAAAAAAAAAAACCACTAACATCATTTTTATTTTTAATTTTGTAGGCACTGACAAGATTTGGAAGTTCACGATCCGAGTCAAACAAGCCCTTCTCTACTAGAGGAAACCGCCAGTCACTTTCTGGTAGGACAGAGATACTCCCCCCAGGGAGATATGTGTGTCTGTCCCTTCCCACCTCTCTGCCTGGGCCCAGACAAAACTCCACGCAGAGGGCATGTTTTATAAGATGTCAAAAGAAATCGTATTTCCAAAATAAGACTCTCCTATTCTTTCCTATTAATATTTATTACATGTTTTTCATAAAGATTAAAACAAACCTGACTTTTAAAATAAGTAATAATTCTTGTTATTTTTAGAATCAATACAGTATAGTATAGAGTATTTGAAAACTATCATTTTAGTGTGTATTCATCTTTTATTTATTTGAGAATATGTAAAAACACTCACTGGAAATTTTATCTGGAAAATGAGCAGAAGCTTTTACCAGTACATACGGATACACACACACATATACACACATATATACATATACGCAGATATATACATACTACATATGCGTAAACACATATGTGTGTATGAACTATGTAGCTTTGGTTCTCCAGAGCTCCCTAGAATAGAAAGAATAATCTTTTCTATCCAGCTCAATGATTACATGTTGTAGGTGCTGCAATCCTGGGCGCTCACACACATGTGTGCACACGCACAGAGCGACTGGCTTTGCTTCAACCTTCCTAGCGGTGAACACGCAGAGTGCCCCCTTTTCCTCACTCGCCTGTCCCTGGAGGTGTTCACGTTAAGCGCCAGGCTGCGGTCCAAGCCACCCACCACCAGCCTTGAGCAAAATGCTACACGACAGCTTTCAATTGAACAACGAGGAAGACGTGGTCCAAAGCACTCACCTTGGGACTTCCCCGCCCGTTTTATGCAAAAGCTCAAAACTTAAATTTAACAGAGAAAGGAAACGAGACAAAGTGGATGGGGTGAGCAAAGAAAGAAAGTGAAGAAAGAAAAGAGAGGGTCAGCTGGGGCCAAGGCAAGAGAGGGCAAAAGCAAATAGAAAGAGAAGAGGGAAAAAGAGAGGGGAAGACGGGGGAAAGGAAGGCAAAGGGTCTAACTAGAAGTCTGCATTAATTCTGTCCAGTCAGAAGGATTGCAAAAACAAGCAACACGTCGGATGGCTCCAGGTCTCCTGTGGGGGCCGCAGGCCTCCTAAGAAAGTGAACAGTGCAAACAGCAGCAGCGGCCCGGACTCCACGCCCCTGCCCCCACTTCGACGGCGGACCACAGCCCGCTCCGGCTGAGACACTGTGCCACCAGACAGGGGACACATCCTTCACACGTGCTCTGGGGCAGACACTCATCGCACGGTCACCACCTGGTGTGGGTCACGGTCTCACAGGTGCAAAGGAACCCATGATGTTGAAGGTTGGCCTCCGAAATAGGAGAAGCCAAAGCACATGGGGTCCTAGTTTGGGACCTACCTGTGCATCCTGTGGTCCCCTTCTTCACGGAATAACCCAGCTGACAGTGGCAGATGAAGGAGCCCTTGGTGTTCTCACATTCCCCAAACATGCAGATGTTTGAATTTAAGTCACACTCATTCACATCTAGAAAATTTATTTTCAACATTTTGGTTAGTACTTGTTCATCCTAGGAATGTGAAAGCTCTCGTTTAAACTGAAGAGCCTACTATCGAAATACACAGACTATTATGTTAAAACATAATCTATTTGCAAGACATAGTATTATTCTCTAGAATTATGTTCAAATAGTTCTTCCGTTTCAGCTTTCCCATCTTGTAATACAGCTGCTTGAATTTTTAAAGTAAGTGAAAAAGCCTCTTCCTCTCGTGCTCGTAGGTCTGTGCACTCGTGTGTGTGTGTGTGTGTGTGCAGATGTATGCGTGGCACCGATCCCGTCTTCATGGTACCCACCAATGCACGTTTTCATGTCCATTGAAGCCATGAAGCCGTCATAACACAGACACCTGTACTCCCCAGGAATGTTGGTACACTGGCCGCCGTCACAGATGTCAGGCTTATTTTCACATTCGTCAATATCTGATGACGGAAAGTTAGCATTAAATAAAGACAAGAACGGCTCTGAGTAAGCTCAAACCCCGTGTCTGCGGTCCAGACCCCCTCCAAACACGGGGAGTGAGATTTGGGAGGTAACACCGGGGAGCTGTCCATGGTGTACCTGCGCACGACCTCCCGTCGGGCATCAGGGCGTAGCCCTCGCCGCAGCTGCATTCATAGCTGCCTTCTGAATTCGTGCACCGGGTGTCGCAGCCTCCATTCATGATCATACACTCGTCGATATCTGTGAAAACAACAGTGCGACCCCGTGACTTATCAGACCTGCTTCCTTCAAAACAACAACAACAACAAAAAATAAGGAAGGGAGATTTTCTTCTCTTTAAACAGATAATGCTTAGGGGCGCCTGGGTGGCTCAGCTGGTTAAGCGACTGCCTTC